TAAGTCATTATGAGGATTTCACTGTTGATTTAATTAAGGAAGCACGGGTCACGTCTCGGTGCATCCTGGTGTCTAGTGTCTTGATCAGTTTGTGAATTAGGGTCAAGTGTCTAGTTTCATTGTGCATTTAAGGATTAGGTGAATGAACTCTTACCTAGGGTATGCTCCTAAGACCTTGGGATGTTATGTTGAGAATTATGTGAATGGGCTCTCACCTAGGGTGTGCTTCTGAAAACTAGGAAGTTTATGCTGAGGATTAGGTGGATGGGCTCCCACCTAGGGTGTGTACCTAAAGTCTAGGAAGCCTACACTGAAGACTAGGTGTTGAGGGCTAGGTGGATGGACTCTCACCTAGGGTGTGTACTTAAGCTCTAGGAAGCCTACACTGAGGACTAGGTGGATGGGCTCTCACCTAGGTTGCTCTTCTAAAGTGTAGGAAGCCTAAATTGATGACCAGATGGATAGACTCTCACACATGGTGTACACCTAAAGTCTAGGAAGCCTGCACTGAGGGTTAAGTGGATGGATTCTCACCTAAAGTGTGTACTCCTAAAACTCTAGGAAACCTAGTCTTTAACTTATGCTTAAGGTGATTTAAGGTTTTCTATATCTTCCAATTAATTAAATCATCAATCCCCATTTTCTGACTTAACCATTAAATAAAAGAAAGGATAAGACCGGCCCACTTCCGAAACTAGCAAAGCCAAAGCGGGGGAAAAGCAAGTGAATCGGCCTAAAAAAGGTTTAAATCCTTTCAATGTTGTAATTAAATTGACCCTCAAGAGGAGTGTTTAAATTTACTCCAAAACAATGTTTTGAGCGGCCCAAAATAACAACTTTTAAAGTTTCCAAATCAACACTTTTAAAAGCCTCAAACACCACATTTAAAATGCTCCAAACAACAATTTTAAAATCCCAAATAGCTCTCATATAAGTCCAAAACACTAATTTTGAATGTCCAAAAAATCAGTTAGGAAATTCAGTCCAAATTAGTGTGTAAACTCTCCAAAATCAGTTAACAAATTGTCTTTAAAATAGTACATGAATCAGTTGACCAAGCCCTC